TCCCTACATGTCCCAGGCTCCTGAAACCCCTTCTGCTTCTGTTCCATCCTCTGTCTCAGAACCTCCCCCTTCTCACTCCTTGGCTGGGGGCTGGGGTGGTGCGGGTGCTAAAGCACATTAATAGCCCAGATGTTGCAAGTTTGAAGCCATAGTAGAAGCACTCATGGCATGGCCCTGTCAGATTGCAACGAATCTGTGAATTCTGCTAAATACCTTGTCACACAAGGACACAAAAAAGGAAAGGAAAGTGCCCAGAAGCTCTACTTTACTAACATTTAAGGGAGACGGTTCATGTGCCCCAAGACCTACTGTCTAAATAAACCTTGCTTCGTTATAGAATGTAGCTCATCTTAGATAATAACTGCAGTCTCCCTTTCTTAGTAATTTCTCTTCCCTCACCTCTTTGCCTGCTGTCACAGAAGTGGCTGATTTGCTTCCTGGTAGGATTTTGGCATTGGGATAAAGCTAGCAGTTCAGTGTACACCAGGTTATTAGTTTCAGCAGGGTCTGAAACCCTGCCCAGTACACAGCCTGGTAGACATCCAGCCATAGGTCTTGACTTCCAGTGTCATGGTAATGACAGTAGGGCGGTTGGCATAATCTAGATTGGAAAATGCCAAAGATATTAAGAATATTTCCTACTAGAAATATACTCTCCCCTATAGTTATTTTTTTTTCCTTGTACAGCTTTAGATAGAAAGACGAACTGTGTATTGGGCATTTCCCTAATCGCCCATAGCCAACAAAATAGTGGCCATGATGTGTTTGTTTAAAAGTTCACAGTGGCCAAATATTTTTTGCTTTTTGAAAAATGCTTTACCTAACACTAATATTTCTTGGCATTTAAGGTAATGTTTGTGGTGATTGTAGTATTAGACATGAAGTAGGGTCAGAAAACTATAGAACACGTAGATTAGGATGGTAGTTAGGTGGAGCAGGAAAAACAGAGCCATTTGTGGCTGTTTACACATCCGGAGCTCTGGGATGGCATGTTTTTTTTTTATAAATTGTAAAATATTAGGTACAAAAATGGAAAAAATAGTTCACTGCTGCTTCTAGTTGTGACCCTGAATGTAGAAGGGAACAGAACTAAAGTGTTGGCTCCTAAGCAATAAGTTATAAAGCACTGTATGCTATAGGATCAGATTTACATTTAAATATGTGAACAACATAATTGTAATGAATCCCCCCAGTCATTTTGATCTTGATTTATGCCTCTTCTCAAGAGTGGCTAATTGTTTTATAAAACTGTTAACTTCTGACACTGCCTTGCATTAAGCATTAAAGCTGTAAGTTCTCTTGTAATTCCTAGAAGCAAACCTGAATTACCCAACTCTTCACAACTTCCTGCTCTGTGTTGTGAAAGATACCTGAGATTCCTTAAGGCTCTCAAACAAGCGGAGATTAACCAGTGCACCATTTTGCTTTTGTTAAAAATACAAACAAACAAAAAAACCTTTTTAATGCTACAGTATTCTGATGATTTATTTTGTTTCTGTGGCTTTAAATGCTGATTTGATCAATTTGTGTACATTGTGAGTGTGGATTTTGGAGGGTGGCAGTAGAGAGAATTTGTGTTTCATCTAGGTTACCGTTTCATTTGTTCCATACTGCCAAGTTGTTTTTAAAACCAACATTTCTTCTAATTCTCTCTGCAGGTACGGTGTTAGCCCTGAGAACATTATTCTGTATGGTCAGAGCATTGGAACTGTCCCAACTGTGGATCTGGCATCTCGGTACGAGTGTGCAGCTGTAATCCTTCATTCTCCTTTGATGTCTGGATTACGGGTAGCTTTTCCTGACACCAGGAAAACATACTGCTTTGATGCTTTCCCAAGGTACGTGCACATTTTGCCAGGAAGGATTGCTCTCTACTCAGTACAATATAACAATATTTAAAATTGTGTGCTGATTTTTATTGTTGTGACCATGCATCTTGAGCTTTGAACAGACAATTTTTATATCGAAACAAATAAGTGTATTCACTTACAACTGTATGGCTTTCAGTCTCATACTAGCATACTAGTTAGCTGAACAAGCAAATAAAGAAAATCCTCCAACTTTCTTACAGCTATTTACCTGCCCCACTCTGTTTAATGCTGGCACATGGTTTGTTATTGTCATTAATTTTGTGTAACCAAATTTGGACAGGTTAATGGTCATCTTACAGTACATTGGCAAGTTATTTTAGGCTAAAAACTAATACCATTAACTGGTCAATTTTCATTTAAAAGTTGTGATACCACAGACTGTCCATAGATTGAATTCAAGGCAGCCTGTTAATTTTTGCCGTTACTTGACACAAACAGTAGGCTGAGCTGGATAAGGTCTGGTTTGCATAACGAGAGAGTAAGGAGTTTCCAATGATTAGGGCACTGACTTGGGATTCTGAAAATCTAGGTTCATTTTCCAGCTCAGCCCAAGACTTCAACTAGATCCAGATAATGCACTTGTCTCAAAGCAAGTTGTACCTTTGTTTGTCCTGGAACAGAAGCCCATGGATTCGCATGTACACCTGTTGCCCTTCCAACCCAGGTTTAGTGAATAGTTGAATGCACTGCCACTTTTCTGCCATCGATTCAATGATACAAACCTGGGACAACTATTCAGATGCACTTTGTGAGGTGCTGGGACAAACTGATAGCACTTCTTATCCCATGAACCTTTATAGAGTTTTTTCTGGATCAATGGATGTGGGTGTCTGAATGATTGTACATTAATAAAATAGTTTCTCCTGGAACAAATGTGACATCGATTTGTAGCCTTCCTGTGTAACATTTGGCAAGTCATTTTACTTTTTTCATTGTCTCTGGTTATCATAAGTGAGATACTTCCTTATTTGATTAGGGCGTTTGAAATTTGTAAAGCAGATGGTCAGGTAGTACTGTACTGGTGCCTGTAATGAGTGGACAAGGCAAAAGACAGCATTTGGCCTTTTTAATCACAATCAAACTCTTCATTGTCAAAAAATGTCACATTCTACATAGAAAAAGTAGAATATGTTTAGTTTTAAGAAAAAAATCTGTTTTATGAAGTGTCTTACAAGAAGGATTGTTATAATCCTAGATAAGAAGCAAACGTTGGACTAGCAGCAGCTGTTCCTTGAATCCTAAACCTTCTCAAACACTGAGTTCTAAAAACTTGTGAACTTTTAAATCCTTAGTGTTAAAATAAGTGACCTGAGAGGACTCTTGATCCAATGTAGTTATTTCTGAGATGCTAAGAAATGTTTATAAATGGCTTGTCTATGGGGATTCTGTGTTAAAAATGCTGCATTTTGATATTTGCAGGCAGTGGTCACTCTTTTGAGTGCAGGAGAAAGGCTGAGGGCAGAATGGAAGCCTGACTTTTCTACTATGGAAATGTGGAGTCATTGAGGCTGGGGGGAGGCAGCTGTGAAAAGGCCCCATATAACATTTTTAACCCCCTGTTCTTTCATAATTGAGATCTTAGGTTAATATGTGGCCATTGGTATCATTTGCCCACTGAAAACTGATTTGCTTCACCAGCAAACTTTACAGCATGTTGACTTCATTTCAGTAACTTCTTACAGGTGGAAGTGCAAGAAAATAACGTAATCCACTTGCTGCTTGTTGCAGTGACTGTTAAGGGAGTTGAGAGCGGTAGTTAGACATATAGTCAAATGTTCTGAGTAATTGGAACTATATTTGTGTTTGACTTCTGTAGGAGGCACCTATTCAAGTAGAAAATGCTCCAGTACTTGTCTAGGCATTCACTTTACAAGTACATTTAACACAAGAGGCATTGTTTAACATTTGCTGCAAAAAAATGTACACTGCTTTCCAGGAGAGAGTTTGTAATAGACATGGCTAAAATAAACAGTGTTTCCCTTGGGCCTAGTTATAACAATAAAATCTAGCTTCAGGGGCACTGAATGCTTAAGTCAGAAAAAGAGTCCTAATCACTTTTCTATAGGAAAAAATTCAAAACTCCTGTGCTTTGCATCTAAAGAAGGTGTTCCTGATTCAAGTGACTGAAGCCACTGAAGAATGTCTTGCAAATCTTTAGACCAGCGTTGCCCAGTTCAAACTGCACAGAAAGCCATTTATGGCATCTGAGAAAATCCCTATCTCTGAGAAAATCATCGGGTGCCTATCTCTTTGCAACAGCACATGGAAAATTTCTGAGGGCTGGGAATGAAGCATCCCATAATGCTCTTGTGTCTAGAGAGAGCTGAAGACCAGAAAACCGACTGAAATCTTCTGTAGAATTGGGCTCCGACCTCTGTATGCATGTATAGTAGTGCAGGGCTGTACAACTGGCACGTCGCCCACAAGAGGTTAACAGACACCCCTGGGCTCCCACCCGGCCAGTGTTGCCTTTATCACTCTGGATATGGCAGCACTGTGGGTCTCCAGGTTCACCCTCCCTCTGGTTTCTGCTGCATGCCCCATCCCAGGGGATGGGGCAGCCTGTGTCCCAGAGCACCCATGCGGGGTGGGGGGGCCTGTGGCTGGGCAGCTGAAGGCAAGGTGGGGTGCCACATAGCGTGCAGCAGAAGATAGGAGGAGGACCATGTCATGCAGCCTGAGGAGGCCTGTGGCCCTAGCGGTGTGCAGACCTCTGCTTGCACGGCCTGTGGGGCGTACGGCCCCTGGCCTCTTAGAAGCTGGACAGCCCTGTAGTAGTGGGCGTTCATTACATTTGTCATGTTTTGTTTTATCTTGGTCACAGCAACTTAACATTTAAAAAAGAGGGTTATAAGGAGATGTATGGCAGGGTAGATATGTACCACATAGACTAAATGAGATGCATAGAGCACAAGCTTTTGTGAACTGGAGTTCACTTCATCAGATGTTGTGAAAGGACAAACATAGTGCATGGTATAAACTGGAGTTAAGTGATTTAAATACAAAAGGTGGGAAAAGAGGAGGAAGAGGAAGGGGAGAGGGGGATGGTGCTGGGAGGGGCATACAAGCAAAAAACCTAAGAACAAAGGGGTCGTGAAAACTAATCCAGGTGATGGGAGGATGGTCTATAGTCCCTTTTCAAACCATACTTAATACAATCCAGTTTGGGGATGATTTCTTGTTTCACACTTTCCTGTTCCTAGACTGGTTTTTAAAATGTTGCTGCCTGAGAACCTTCCTGGACGCTCCACTGCTTACAGGTGTTCTGCCGCGGCCTTTGTGTCGTTCTGCAGCTGGGATCAGATCGGTGTTTCTTCATTTTTACATATTCAGATTGCCCCCTATACCCCGATGTAGACTGCAGAAGGGCATTGTAAGTAGGTGATATGTGATATTAGTAGAATTGCAGGTGGATGAACCTCAAATGTTGTACTCCTTGTCATTCAGTCCAGCAGTGATGTAGTCTGTATTGATGTGGGGGCACAGCAGGCATTTGGGTCCACTGCAAGGCCTGATGCTCTGGTGAGGATGAGAATGAGTTAGTCCTGTGCTTAAGAGATTTCCTTTGAGGTTGTGGGGGGCTGGCTATAAGTCAGGACATATTTGTCCCCCATGACTATCTTGAGATGATCATCCTGTTCCAGGAGGGCTTGGAGGCCATTTAATGAACTCTACGGTGTTCAAGCTGGGGACTGTAGGTGATTGTTGTCTTTGTCCCAGGGTTGGTAGCTGGTGGAAGTAATGTCTGAGTCTGGCATTGTTGATTTGCGTGGCTACAGTTTTGGGGCTGTATTGTAATTGTAGGAATCGTTGGTCCAGATCTTTAAGGTGTTCACCTTGGTGTTCATCCCAGGATCAGAGCAGAAACTGTTGTAACGTAGTGTTTGGCTGCAGACAATGGATATAGTGGTATACTTAGAGTGAAAGCTGGTGGCGTGAAGGTAGCTGTGGGGATCAGTTGGTACATGATGCAATGTGGCTGTTGCAAACCTTCACTGTAGCGTCTAGGAAATGAAGCTGCTGGGTGGAGTATTTCAAAGTTGGTTTGATGGAGGGGTGGAAGTTGTTGAAGTCCTGGTTAAATTTCTCTACAGATTCCTTCCCATGTGTCTATCAATGACGTCTTCATAATATGTACCTGAGGTATACGAGGGGTTGAGAGGGCAGCTGAGAAGGACATGGACTCCAGGATATGTCATAAGTATGTTGGTATATTGGGGTGCCATATACGTACCCATGGCAGCGCCATTCATTTGTAGCTATAGGGTGTCTTCCAATCTGAAATTGTTTTGTATGAGGACAAAGTGAGAGAGTGTGATGGAAAGGGAAGTAGTTTTCTTGTTGGATTACAGGCCATGAAGAATATTATCCCTGTCCTCTTGGAGGATGTTGGTGTACAGAGATGTGACATCCATGTTAGCTAATACAGCATTTACTGGGAGCTTGTAAATGGAGTGCAGTTTCTTTAAGAAATCTGTGGTGTCTTTCAAAAAGCTGGTATATGGGAGCGGCCAGAAATTTCCCCTGTGATGGTACCAGTGCCAGAGACAAAATAACGTCCTGGGTTGCCGCGTTGCTTGGTCTAGTTTCCTGGCAGGTGGAATCCTTTCCTGTGTTTCCAGAGATAGCTTCTTTTGGTTTTTAGTTCCTCCTGCTGTTGTGTGGTGGGATCCTCTGTCTGGAGTTGCTAAAATTCAGTGTTGGAAAGTTCTCTTGGCTTCTCATAGGTAGTTTTGTCCATGACAAGTGGCAGCCCCCAACCCTTATCAGCCTGTTGTATGATAATATCAGAGCTGTTTTTAAGGCTGAGAACGGCTCTTAGTTCTGCAGGACTAAGTTGGCAATCACAGAGTGGGCACAGAGGCAGAAACAGTTTACATATGGGTGCAGAGTGGGGCTGTCCTGAGACGCCGTTCATAAAAACCTCAGGCTTCTACAGTTTTGGCTCCTGTATGTCAAGCCCTTGTGCTTGGTACGCTCATCAAATTCAAACTGAATTCACCAAAGTGGAATTTTTTTGTGCTCAAACTTGTGAATCGTTCTTCCTGGTCTTTAAATACGTGATATTTACAATTAAAGGGAATGTTCCTAGCAGAGAGAAAGCAAAGTTTTGAAAACAGCTTTCTGCACAAGGTTGGGTAGCTGAAATAAGCCAAGACAAACGACAGTTTAAACACCCTTCTCGTTATTTATTTTTTGTGAAGCTTGACAGCAGAGAGAGTGTGCAGCGTTTTGCTGCTAACCACCTGAGCTGCTCCTTGCTGTTAGTCCAACTTCATTTACACTTAAAACAGTGAAAACAAACGTTTGTGCGCTCTCATGAATATGCACGGCTCAGCTGTCTGTTTTCACTGTAGGAGACAAAATATTTCTTGGTACACCTCCGGTGAATTGTCATTATGTGCATTTTATGTTGGGATGCCATGAGAATGTAGTCTCTGTAGACTTTTTTTTTCCTAGCTGCAGAGTGGTGTGGCTAAGAATACTAAGTAAGGCTAATGTGCAACTTTAAATACCACCTTCCAAATCGCTGAGTTGGCAGTGGGATGCTTTCCAGGCTGTTTTTTTGCTCAAATACAAATATTATTTAGCTCTAATGGTCTGGGACTCAAGATGAAGAAATGTTAGTTCTCTGAATGCTGCAGTGATGGGGGTTCCCCAGCTTCCTAAAAATAAACGAGTTTAGGACTTAGCCATTGAAATTATGCAGAAAAAGCCTTCTGTGTATATAACACATGTACATAGATAGCATGTCTGTCATGTTACATAATTTTTACTCTGTAGCACACAGTTAGTGACTACCTTCTAAAAAAGTTTAATCGATACCCTAGTTTGCTTACTTCCTGTTGTTACTTAACTACAGTATTCATTTGGGGATACTAATAAAAGCTAAAATGATATACTTTATTTTGCCATGCCTCTTTTACATTAAAGTATATATCCATATCTAAACCTGATCTGAATTCCAAAAATGAAATATAACTTATTTCAGTGAAATTACACTTCTGCATTTTATAGTTATCTAGTTTCTATATTTCAGTACTTCTTTAAAACAAACCAAAATTTGGTTTCCAACAGCTGTCACCTAGTATCCCAAATTATACTAAATACATATGAAATCCTCTTGTTTCAATTTACATTTTAACTTATTTGAACATAACTGAATTATTGACTTTTTCATAACCTGTTTTTAAGTTAAAAATAACATGTTGAATGTCTTTTTGACTTTTTACACAATTTGTGCAGCTATACTGGTTAATTTAGCTTTTTGTCCTCTTCTCATCAGCCTACTTCACTTTCTCCTTCTGAAGAAATAAAATCCTTTTATTTACCACTCGATAATTTAACAAATGACAGAAACGCTAATTCCATCCCATCATCTCTAGGCCTATCTCTGGAACCACTTTCATAGTTTTCTCCTCTTTCTTGATCTTTAACTTTCAAATACTTTTTGACTGAGATGTACTTATATCATGATATTATCATTTCCCCCCTCCCTTACTTTGCTTTCTCCAAACCCCAAAAGTATCTAGAGCAGAAGCACTATATTAATAATGGTAGTTGGCATCAATGGTCAGAGTTTATTTTAAGTTCAAATTTTTGGGGAAGGATAGAGAGCTTGTTACAATCCAAGATGTAGGGTAATGTTTCCATGATAAAATCTTGCGTGAATTCATTTTTTTCCGGTTGGTTTTCAGTTAAATCTCCTGTGATAGGAATGAAACTGTCATAGGAGTATTGTGCTAGTGCATGGGAATATTATTTTGAAATGCTATGCTATGACTATCCTGTTGTTTCCTTCGTGCAGCTTTGAATGAACTAAAGGAGGCAATATAAATAATATTCAGTGATCTGTCCTTAAAAAATCTGCAGTATTAATCTCTAGGGTTAATAGCATAATGTGCCTCCATAACGTTTTTCATAATGGCCATCTAATTAAAACTGATTTAAGAAATCTGGCTCTAGATTACTAATGTGCTACTTGGGATCTTATTTGCCTTGAGGTCATTAGTTCAAACGCAGGTGTAGTTAGTAGTATCTTAGGTTCTGTTTCTGTGGGAATGCATGGGTAGCTTCAGCTCAGTTTTGAATAAAAAGGTATCCACCTTGAATGGGTGAGAGAGTGGGCTGAAAACCACTTGCCCTTTTAGACTGATGGCATGATGGTGATGCCAGGGCAGCTTGAACTGACACATACCTGTGCTTTACCTACCTTGTAGATGAGCATAATTCTTATTTCAGTCACCTTTCATAAGTGATGCATCCATTGAAAAATGCAGCATTCAGTAATTGGGTTATTTGTCCACAATCAAGCATGTTTTCTTTGCATTTTAACCTTTGCAATAACAAACTCAGAGTAACATTTTTTTTCTTTTTTGTTCCTCAGCATCGACAAGATCTCTAAAGTAACTTCTCCTGTGTTGGTCATTCATGGTACTGAAGACGAGGTAATAGATTTCTCCCATGGCCTGGCGATGTACGAGCGCTGTCCCCGAGCAGTGGAGCCCCTCTGGGTCGAGGGGGCTGGGCATAATGACATAGAGCTTTATGCACAATATCTAGAAAGACTAAAACAGTTCATATCTCATGAACTCCCCAACTCCTGAAGAAGCCTACTTGATCTTACCTCAGTTACTGTGAATGGAAGAAATTACCTGTTTTTGCACATGCTTTAACTGGATAGCTGTAATAGCTTTATACTATGAAGAAATGCCCTTTACTTTAGGGTGTTCTAATCAAACATCTGATGAAATTTGTCTTTTATATCAGGAAGTTATTCTACTAATGCACACAATATGGTCAACTACTGTAATTCCAACAATTTTTAGCTTCATTACCCTGGAGGAAGTGGGAATACTAGCTGATTATGGGGACACTTTTTACCTAGTGCTGTATTAATATTCTAAAGTCAGTTTTCTCTACCTTACTTCTAATCATTTATAATTCTGTCCTACAAGACTTTTTTCAGTGTTGTCAATATTTGGAACACATCTGTTATGAACTACAGCTTGTTCTAAACAATCAATTTGTGGGTTCAATCTAAGGGAGTACTTTCTTTGTAAAGTTTCTAGCTGTGGTATTGTAACTGGAAAGTTATTGTGATGAAGTTTTTGGGTTTTTTTTTCCCTCTTAGTGTTTTTTTCTTAACCTACTGATCTTCCCAAGTAAATTATTTGAAATGTTCTACTCTTCCCTGGAAAAAACAAACCACATGAACTACTACTACATGGGGCTAAATTCTGTAACAACCTCTCAATTTTCTGTATAACTGGAATATCTGCAAGGAAAAGTAATGCTAAATTGTTTTTGTTTAAAAAAAATAAATGTGTAAATTTACTACTAGAAAACTCATTTTAATATTCAGATGGTCTGAATAAGAGCCATAACAGACATTTCCTTCTGTAAAGCATTCCTGTAGACTTTTTAAAAGTACTGTACATATTTGAATTTACATTGTGCATAGATTCTTAATTGGTAGTTTTAATTTAAGCCTAGTTACAATAAACTGCAAAATTCTGGTTTGTATATGATTGAATACATTTTGTTAAATAAGTTTTTATCCCTATATTATTTTGCTATTAAAAGTTTTATAACGTTTCCAGGACAAAAAAATTTACACATTTATGTTTTGATGAATTTATGTAACTAAATTTTCATTGAACTGACCTTTTTAGTTTAGAATTTGATTATTTGACACTGGAATCGCACAGAATATGCATCAGAAATGCAAGACACTAAAAATTGTTACACTAGTAGCATAGGTCTAATTTTTTCCAAATTTAAAGGCCTTAAATGTACTGTAAGCCTCAGATTGTTGTAAAAATTGATTGCGGTTGATTGCAGTTTGTGTCCTGTTGCTGGAATGCAACACAGTGGTTGTAATGGAATAAAGGATGCATGGATTAGATCATATTAATTGTGAATCTCATTTGTGCTCTAATTCTTACATACAAATTGAGCAAAAGCAAAGTATGGCAAAAAATATTTTAAAGAGAAAAATCCAATCTAACCTTGTATCTTAATGTTTAAAACTAATCCTGAGGTATAATATGCCTATCGATTTAACTTTGTATACAACTCAAATGTAATTTGATTTTATTGGTTAGTGGTTCTGAATTACAATTTAAACATTGAAAATTCTGACTCATGGACTAGGAAAAGTATTTGAATCATGAGATATTGTGAAAGGAATGCAAATGACTAATGTTAGCACTGCAGGTGTATACGCTGTTTCTGAGATTTGTTTCTGAGTAGTGCTCTTGGGAATATTGGGAATAACGTTGGGATTGGTGGATGAAGTAGTGATTAAGACCAAGGAACTATTCTGGTAATTGGCTTTATTTATGAACAAACTACAAGCTTAATACACCGCATAATGTTACATACTGCAGCGGCACAATTGCAAGTTGTGGAGGACTTCAGTGTCAGGATCCCCAAAGTCTGCTGACCAAGCGTCCTGGAGATCTCATGAGAAATGCTTGGCAGGATGTTAAGCGCTGACAGGCAAATTCCGGCACTTCATATTTGCTATAGTTTCTTACAAGGGTCTTTGGGTTAACGTGATCTCTTTTATTAGACCAACTAAATAGTTGGAAAAATTGTTCTTTGCAAGCTTTCGGGCACAAACACCTTTCTTCAGGCATATCGAGGGTCTGCTAATCAGTATGCCTGAAGAAGAGTGTTTGTGCCCAAAATCTTGCGAAGAACAATTTTTCTAACTATTTAGTTTGGTCTAATAAAAGATATCACATTTACCCGAAGAACCTTGGTTTGCCTACGTCCTTAGACCAACACGGCTACAACCAACAAACGTACAGTTGCTTACGCGTTTTACATTCTGTTGAACACTAAATCATGTTACTGCGGTTTTGAGAGTGAACCAATCATGTTTTACAACTTATTTGTGGTATGGTTATTTTTTCCGCATGGCTTACTGAGGTGGTAAATAACCTTTGCGGTCACAGGCTGCAGCATACCAGCATCCAATCATCATCTTCATTTATATCCACCTGCATCCTGCTGGCTAAGGTCTGAAGTGTCAAACCACACCCTTCTACAACCTGCTCACTGACACGTCTGAAGTGTCAAACCACACCCTTCTACACTGTGCTCATTGATGGGTCTGATGTATCAAACTATATCCTTCCACTCACGGACAGGTCTGAAGTGCCAAACCATATTCTTCTACAAAACCCACTCGCTGATGGGTCTCCTTCTACAACCCGCTCATTGGTGGGTCTAAGTGTCAAACCATGTCTTTATAACCTGCTCACTGACAGGGGTTACAGATAAGTCACAAAATGGATCACCTCAATTTTTAGTATGCAATAATTATTGACACACCCAATGACATTGCTCATGCTAGGCATTTTGCTAAAGTAGTATTTTACCTTACAGTAGTACAGCCAGAGCAACTAATGAAAATTGGAATTTTCATTGTAGTTCCTGAATCATTAGAAATTAAAGAAGGTAAAAGGTCACATAGGTCATACAGCTCCCCGTCCCCATGATCTGATTCCTTGCAATATATGTTGTTCAGTTTAATTTTAAATACCAAAAGGAATGGGGCTTCCAGCTGTGCCCTTTGTCACATGCTGTCTGGAGATTCTACTTCATCTTCATCTCTTTTGTTTCAGCTTGACAGCTTCATGTGTGAGCATGTCTTGTCTCCATTGTACTCCTCTATGCAACCTATAATTCCTTTCCCTCCCCAGGGGTGGTGTCTCTTACCTGAATTCACTCCCATTATTGAAAATAATGGGACCTGGCAATAAGTCATGCTCCTGGTGCACACGCTGTAGTTAGCTGTAGGGATAGGCGAAGTGACTAATGATTTCTGGTAGTCTCTTCCTTGTATAGGTGCCCCATTGAGGCAACAGACAGGCCTAATTTCTCAGGAAGTGCTGAGCCCCTTCGATCACCTTTCAAACTTTAGTGTAGAATGTGTTGCCTTCCCACTGCCGGTGAGGATAGCGATCTTATCTTTTGCTTAGACAAGCTCTATTTGGTTCTTCTAATCTTCCTTTTATAAATCAGTTCTTCTAGTTCACTCATTCTTTTTGTTGCTCTTTTGACTTAGCTTCATTTTGTCAATAGCTTTTTTGGTGGTTGAAACCAGTGCTGAATTCAGTAATCCAGGTGTAGTCACATCAGCCCAAATGACATCTCTGCTTATACAATTCAACCCCACAATAGACTCTTGCACTGGCCTTTTTGGCACCACAAATGTGTCTTTAGATGTAGTAGCTTTTTATTTGCCCTTTTTTTTTTTTGCTAATCTTTGATACTTACAGGTCCCTTTATGTTCCTCTGGTTGCATCAATGTATGTATCATTTCATATTATCTGTATTTCATTAATATATCTAAACTTTTGTCTGTCTAGAAAGAGTACTGCAGTGTTCACATTCAAAGTCCTAGACCAGAGGTGCTCAGCCCCTGGTCTGCAGAGCTGTCTCTTTGGACCCCAGGGCTCCCCGCAGGTCTGGAAATTTGGTTGTAGGGGAGCAGTGGCAGCTGATTACCACTCCCTTGCTGTCAAATTTCTGGACCCAGTCTGTGGGCCCG